ACCGGGTTTTAGGTTTAAAATCGTTTGAGATTATCGGGTTTAACGATTTTAGTGGATTTTGGAGTGTTTTTTGAGGTTATGGCCAAACCCTGACGTGCTCGGGTTAAACCGACCTCGGATTCGGATTCAGCGACCCCAAAAACATACAGTATACATAGTCAGATACCCAGGCCGAAAAAAAATTTTTTTTTGTGTGGCTGTGTTATTTATTAGTTAAACATGATCTAGAATAATTTAAATTGAATACGATAAAGAATGTCAACACGGTTTAAAGTTTGATTTAGGGGGGATTATTAGCATTTCAGATTGATTGTGTTGAAAGTCCGAAAAATGTTTCACGCGCAGTCATATCTGAAATAAATTGATTTAATATAAAGAATATATTATTCGAAACATCTAACTTTAAACCGTGTTTGCGTTCTCTATCATATTTGTTGTATTCATATACAATGTATATATATGATCATTTCTTAAGTCTTAAGTTTAAATTGATACTATTGGTACTATACGACTGTTATTTCGTTGCCCATACTTCTTATCTAGGTGGCAATGATTAAATTTTATTGTATAATTGTATAATTGGGGTGCCATGGATCACACATTAAATATTCATGATGAAACGGGATTACAGAATATTAAAAGGGCAATTTATACTTTTAAGTAATTAATTTTATTTTAGCAAATAAATTTTGTATCTTATATTAATAGTTATTTCTTATTTGTTTTCTAATTTTCTGTTGTATTATTTAATAATTATTAGTTGTAATTATATTTTATTAATATATAGTGACTATGTTAAGAATGTGTAAGAGTTAATTGATGAAAATACTTTTCAATTTTCGTCACAGTTATTTCTTGAACAATACTATTTTGTATGTGACTTATGGTATCCCGGGTATAGGGCACCTTGAGTAATTTCTGTTTAAAAAAATATGTTTATATTTTCTTCTTAAAAACTAATAAATATTTACCAAATATACTTATTAAATTTTTAAGTATGTATTATGCTTTAATAATAATAAAAATGATGCAAAAATTTTTATATTTAAGTGTACTTTTAAGAGTTTGAATTTTTGTGACTTATGGTGCCCCGGTCTCTCCCTTACATTTAAAGTTTAACGAAAGCGAAACAGAAAGTTTTAGTGTAGTTCAGTATATAAAGAACAAAGTTGCGACAAAGAACAGACTTTTTCTTACAACGTGTAAATATATCTATTATTATAACTTGTATTTTTTTCTAGGTACCTGAAAGCAATATTTTAGGCGAGTTTGGACACGGATACAAGTATGCAGCTGGTTTTCTGAATGAAGGTAGAGTAGGCATTGGCGCTCAAATGATTGGAATCGCACAAGGAAGTTTAGATGCAACTATACCATATACATTGGAAAGGAAGCAATTTGGAAAGGACATTTTCTCATTCCAAGTATACTCATTATTCAACGAACGAAATGTCCGTGTATACCTAAGATCTAAAAAATAATCTATTTTCAGGCGATGCAACATCAAATAGCTCAAGCAGTAGCTGATTTAGAATGCGCAAGGTTATTGGTTTACAACGCAGCTAGATTGGTAGATGCTAAAAAAGATGTTATGAAAGAAGCAGCTATGGCCAAATTAATTGCATCTGGTATATAACTTGCTAATTTTTAATTTAATTTAAACTCGAGGCTACAATGAAAGCTAATATATGCATATCATATTATAGAAACTGCATCACGTGTCACCACAAAGTGCATAGATTTTATGGGAGGTGTTGGATTTACAACAGACTTTCCTCAGGAGAAATATTATAGGGATGCCAAGATTGGCACGATTTACGAAGGTACAAGCAATATGCAGTTGTCAACGATTGCAAAATGTATACGCAAGGAATATTCGTAAATTAGTAATCCTTAACATGACAATATATGTTTATAATATAAAATAAAATAATTTTTTACACATATTTTGAATACTAAAAATTAAAGAAAATAGCAAATGTACTATTCGGAGAGAATCAAGGGGAAGCGAAGCGGATTCAGCCGGAAGCCGTCGTTCATTGGAGTGAGTAGAAGATATGGTAGAAGCAAGTATGATGGAACATATGGTGCTGTACACACACACACTAGTATTGTACCGCACTTGTGTATATGTACATACACACATTTGCATATTTGCGGAAGTGCACAATAAATGGCGGAACCAATCAGAGAAGAGAACACTCTCCGCTCCACTCTCCCTTGATTCTTTCTGGTATTATTTTCCCTAATTTTAAAATATATATTTTTATATTTTTATATTCTAACACTTGACTAGTATCAAATATATAAGGGATACCCAATTCTGATGTAAGTTTTATAAATCAATATAATTAATAAATTAAGTATTAAGACTCGGTTGAGATAAATCAATACAATCAAATAATGCCTATTCGAGCCAACACAGGATGACAATGTGCAAATTGGTTTATTTAAATCAACATAATTACATGAAGAGCTTAATAACGTTTCGATGATCATTATACCAGGAATATACAATGACATCACTGTTACATTAGTATTGTTACATGACTGAATTCTATTAACAATATACATGGAACATTGATAAGGATCTGAAACAAGATCGAAACGTCTGCGATTATTATATTAATTTAAATAAACCAATTTGCACATTGTCATCCTGTGCTGGCTCGAATAGGCATTATTTGATTGTATTGTTTTATGAATCAATAACAAGTATCGAAATTCAACGAAATAAATTTATTACAATATTTAGATATAAACAATAGAGATGTACATAATAATACTTTTTATACTATTAACCTTCTGAATCTCGGCTTCCCAAGGTATTCCTTCAGTGTTTTTCGGACCGTCGATTCGCTTAGGTCGCATTCTGTTAGCGTATATTGTTTACATAGAATCAATTTTTAAGATATCAGGGCATTTTTTCAGAAAAATGTTCCTATGGAGGATACACAGGAATCGCTTAATGCCGGTGAAAAGCGAGGAAGGTGCAAGTTGTGCGAAAATACAACCACCATCCTCAAATGTAACTTTACTTGCAAAAAACATAATGCTTATTTGACGATATTATGTTTTAATTTCTCGAATTGTCAGTCTTATTCTACGGTGTTCTTTGTACACGGCCCACTGGAAGCTTTATAATATAAATAATAAAGATGTGATATATAAAATAAAATTACACGGTTTTATCTTTAATGAAATTTACTATTTAAATTATTTTTATAGAAGTACAATAAATACAGATAGGTATAGTACAAAGTACAAATATTCCTATCACTAACAACAGTTTAAACATTTCTATTTTGATCCATACATTTCATTTTGGATCATGAGGTAATTTAAAACCTACGAGATCCGCAGTTTCCTTTATGCTACGTTCACCTTTACCAGCATATTGTTTATGAATATCCTTACATGCTTGCTGAGACTTCAAGTAGCAAAGATACATCTCTGCCAAATTCTTTAATTCTTCTCGCGCTTTACATAAAACTTCGGAGGTTTCTTTATGGGCATGTGCTTGTTCCATGACATAATGTAACATTGCGTTCTCTTTCATATTTTTAGTCTGTGAAACTCGACGAAGCTCTTGCACCAGAGAACGAACAATTTTAATATTACTATTCATTGTCGTTGTGTTCTAAAAGCAAATTGGAACAATTAGTCGCTCAAGTATTGAGAAACAAGAATTACATTTTGTTACACAAATAACTCTGTAAGAACTAAAGGAGATAATTACAGTGTATCAAACGTCATTTGTCATTGCACAGCTGTAACAAATTCAACGTCTTTCGTTAAATACTGTGGTTCCTCTTTAGAGTTCCAGAAATCTGCTGGAACCTTAAGCAGATTTTGTCTTGTAAAGATATGAATGTTAAGGTCGTTGAAAACTTCCTCGTATGTGAAGGAATTTTCCAATCGAATCTCTGTAACATAAGGTCGAATGCGATATATGTAGCCCGCTGTATTCAATACGTCCTTATGCAAGCAATTGTCAACGGTGTCTGAAAGACTGTTGGCCAGCAGGATGCAACTGCTCAGTCCATCACCCCAATTCGCATAGAGGAAATTATTGGTCAGCTGCCGCGAGCAGTGCGGCATGTACACAAGGGTGGTCCTATCTCGCTGGACGACACGCTTGCCTTCCTCGTTTGTCTCTATGACCTCTAATCCCAAGGTACGCAAAGTTTGCACTTCCTCGGGCTGAAACGCCGGGTCGTATACGTGTACGCGAACCGGCTCGTATCGCTCCTTCAGACACAGCAGAAGCGCCAATTGGCATCTCGACGATCTATACTGCGAGAACTGTCCTAACCCATAGCAGACTATCTCGGAAATACTGTTAGAGCCTAAAACGGCTAGGGACTCCGACAGCCGGCTAAAAATGAACTCGGTAAACGAAGCGTCTCTGATTTCGACTACCGCCTTGTCTAACGTGCTGAAAGTCGCCGTAAAAAAAACGTGATTGCGATTAGAATCAACCAGGTTAAACGTAGGTCGCGATGTGCATTAGATTAGGTTAGGTTAGGTTAAAATTAAGTGAGGATGGCGAGACGCAACCGTGGCATGGCTTACCGACGAAGAAGCTCGCGATCGATCCCACAGTTCTGTTCTACGATCACGCTCGGCGGCGCGTTTCCACGTAAATTCCTTCTTCCGTTACGACGTTTTCCACGACGAGTCACCAACACAAAGTTGTCCGCTTCTGACATGACTGAATATGACGCCGTTTGTTAGTACTTGCATTTCTCTTCGCTAGATAACGCCACCAATCGCGCTTACCTTCACTTGGCTTTAGCGTTATAAAATTTTCCTTTTTATTGATATTCTAAAAAAAGATTCTAAAAAATCTTTTTGATATAATGAGACGTCCACAATAGTGTGCAATTTAAATAGAATAGCAGTAACTTAATTACCTGTATATATGCGTCAGCAATCTATCCAAATAATCCTTATTTAAAAAATTGTATAAATTGCTAGATGCCTATATATTGTCGTCATTACAATTATGTTTCTATTCCGGGGGTCTCGTATTCTCCTACGTACGTTCTCACAATTACGTTTCAAGAGTTTTTTTTTAAGATTTAATATTTTTTATTTGTAATACTTTTTACCGCGTGTGAGGCGGTGAAAGTATTACAAATAAAAAATATTAAATCTTAAAAAAAACTCCCCCATTTCCATCAATTTGACTTAATTTAATTTGGGTTTTATTTACTCTCTTATACCTTTTTTTTAGGAATAATTTTAAAAGTAGAATGAAGATAAAAATAAGTTAATTAAATTAAGATTATAACAGTTACTCTACAGTGGTAGAAATGGACACGATTAAACTATATATATGTATGATTCTGCATTGATGTTACCGCTTATTATATTCTGAATGCAATTAATAAACGGCGAGTTTTGTTACGATTTAACGTGAAGTAAAAAACACTGCAGCCGCTTTTACTAGCAAATGCATGCCGATTATTTTCGGTGCAAAAGTGTGCCAAATATAATAGTACTTAAAACGCTACATAATAATTATCGTGACGCTTAAGTGCAAGAACATCGGTGTTTTTTTTTCGCTTACGCCCATGGAGTGTCTCGTGTCTCGCATGAAACGTACGTACAGTCTAACGGGACGGCGCAAGGTAGTGGAAATGAGTCATTCGTTACCCGCCACGACCCATCGCGTATAACCGAGCAAATAAGTCGCAATCGTGCCGCGCCGAGGACGACGACTGCTTCAATAGTCGTCAGCCAATATATATAGTAACGTTAAACAAAAAAGTTTCCGCACTTCCTTTTCTCTCTTTCACTCCGATACTTCCGTCACAATTCGTCATAATGTGACATCGGAGCGCTTCCTCGATGCGCTTTAATGCATTTGAATTGAAAAGTGTCCTCGAGAATGATCCTCCGCGCGTGCAAAGCCTACTTTTGAAATTTTGCCTTCGTAATAAAATTGACGATCGACTATCCAGCTGAATAAAAGCGTCGCCCAAGAGTAAATAAGTGATTAATTTATACGATATTTGTTTTCGCAGGCGCCAGTTTGTACTTTCACGGATTCACGTTTCTCGCATTATAACGTGTTGCGCCTGAAACGACGAGTTGTTTATGTGAAACGAAGATAACAAGATTTGGCACAGAATTTATTTTCGTGCCGCGGGAACGGCGTGTCGTGTGACGAGACGATAGAGAGAGTATATAACGTGTTTATAATTCTCGGCACGAATAAATGACGAAATTGTTAAATTCCGCCGGTATCCGCGGCATCGATATCCCGTGTATAATATACGTCGTATGCCTGCCGCCTACGGAGATTCTGAATCGTTGTACACGAATATGTATAACGACGAAAATGTCGCTTAGCTAACCACGGGACACTTTGCAGCAGGTGTGCGAAAGGTGTCGCGCCTTTGACTTTCGACTAATAACCGATGTGAATGATGTGATGTTACCGCAATGTCCCTCACCTCGAGAACAAACAGATGGGCCTCGAGAGTAATTATTATTTTACAGCTGGTCACCTGGAACGCTGTTGGCATCATTCTTCTTCACAGAGGCGTCAGCACATTGCACAAAAGAATCTTGGAAACCAGCAATGTTGTCGAGGTAATGAAAGTAATTTTCTACTCTCATTATGTAAATAATCATTATACATATATGCAATAATTGCATTCATAATAATTAGTAATCTCTATTATTAATAATTCTATTGTATAATTATTATTGTCAAGGTCTATTATATCTATCTTATTAATATATATTTATTTAATGTATACATAAAATAATTATTTATAATGATTATTACTAATCTCCATTATCATACTATATATAATATGATTGTTAATAAAATAATAAAATATAATTAAATTATTATCAAGGTTCGTTATAATAATTATTACCTGTATAGATTGTATATATAATACATACATATATGTATAGGTATAGTTTTTGTGTTGTGTAATCGCAATTATCTCTCCTTATATAAAATTGCCCACATGCATATATGTATACATAACGTAGTCTTTACCTTTCCACAGGTAGATCCCCCGACCGGTTTGGAGTCCGTCGTATCGTCTACGAGACACGAATATGATCTATCCACCCAGCAACAACCGATCAACAAGAACGTGGAGATAATTCAGATAGATCCGTCTCTGGGTGATGATACGAATCTCTCTGGATTAATCGCAATTCGAAACGAACGATTAAAGAACGCATCCGAGATTTTTTCGGAGAAGCAACCATCTACGTTTTTTCTCGCGGATCCTCTCGCAGTTCCGACGACCGAGAATAAAGATGTAATGAACAAGATCTCGAGAATAGCTCGAGACAGGGAGCATATTCTCGGCAACAGAATTTCAAACAACATTCACGCGGAAGAGGATGTCACTTCAACTTCGGATTATTCGGAATCCAAGATTGCGGGATCGGTTTTGAGGAAGGAGGAGGATCTCGATGTCGTAGAAAACGCGACACGAGCCACAGTGCACGAGACGTCGTCCACTCTTGGCAAGGAGGCCGATCAGGATCAATTTACCATTAGAACAGGCAAAAGCAATGTAAAATTCTCCCGCGTGAACGAAAACATCGCGACGACGGCCGTCGCTTTAGTGTCTATCGGTGCGATTATGCTGCTGGTGGGGCCAATCGTGATCGTAATGCGGATTTTGGATGAGAGGAGGCAAGCGAGAAAGCTGATGGCATTGCCGTCAAGATCGCGAGAAGATCTGCCACCCACGTACGAGCAGGCCGTTCTCATGGACGAAGCACCAAGGTATTCGACGCTCGCATTGAACTACGATCGCACGCCGCCGCCCTCGCCGACTTTCTCGTCCACCTACACCTTTTCGAACTCTGCAACGTAGTTGTGTCCTAGACGGAATTTGGGTGGAGAAATTTTTTTCTTTGTGTTGCTTTTTTTGTATAATAAAAACCGATTTATTATGAGACCGTTTTTTTACATTAATAAGCATCCTTATGATATTAGACAGGGGGAGAAGAGAGAGAGAGAGAGTGAGAAAGAGAGAGAAAGAGAGAGAGAGAATATAATTTTTGCACTTTTTTAAAAATATAATATAAAAAAATTCGTAATTTTTTTATAATTTTTCATTGAATTAAAAAAATATATATAGTAATAAATCCTTAAATATAGTAGAGGATCGGTCGAAGTTAGATGTTTCGAATAATATAATAATTCTTGGTGCATGAATTTAATTTATCTCAAATGTGACTGTGCGCCAAAACGTTCGGACATTTAAACACAATCGCGATGATAAATTGATTGTGTTTAAATATCCAAACGTTTCGGCGCACATTCACATTTGAGATAAATTAAATTCATGAACCAAAAATATTATGTTATTCGAAACATCGAACTTCGACCAGGCGCTCTCTACTATATATATTTATATTGTTACATTACTCGGTCGGATTTTATTTCTTAATAAATCCTTGTTTATAAAAAACATGTGGATAAATGATGTATCATATATGCATATATTATATGCACGAAACGCTTCGCCCAATCAAATTAACAGTAACATATGTATCAATGTTATATCTTCACATTCAATAAACACACAATAAGCAGTGTTATATAACAAAATAATTATTTATATAATATTGTTACATATTATTTTTGCATTTATTCCGGTAAAAAATGGTTCATGCATGAATAAATATGTATAAATATGTACAAACATATATATATAAATATTCACAAACATAGTTAATCACAGATGGCCTTCTATCTACAAAAAAACTAATATTCCTAAAAATGAATTTTTAATTTTTCTTAAATTAGTATTTGAATCAGCATTTTTCTCTTTTGACAAATATTATCTATCGGCAAAAATTTGGCATGCCGATGGGATCACCCCTGTTACCCGTTATTGCTGATATAGTATTACAAGACTTGGAAAGGAGAGCGTTGAATACTTTAAATTTCAACAAACCGCTTTATGTAAGATATGTGCACGACATCGCAATAACAGCTCCTTGTGATAAAACGTCTGAGATTTTGCATACGTTTAATTCTTTCCATCCACGTTTGCAGTTCACAATGGAGATAGGTGATTCCACATTGAATTATTTAGATATTACTTTGATTAAAAATAATAACAAGGTAGAATATGATTGGTACCATAAATCCACTTTTTTCGGACGATATTTGAATTTCCTCTCTCTTTCCCAACACTTATTTTCTCAGAAAAAGGGCACTGTGGATAGAGCCTTTTTATTGTCTGTGCCAAAATTTCACAAAAAGAATTTGATATTTGTAATTGAAACTCTACTTATGAATGACTATCCGTTGGATTTTATTTTTAACATAATTAATGATAGACAAATCTCTTGTACATAAAAAAATTTTCAAACAAAAAAATAACACAAAGACCGATAATGAAGACGAAAAGAAGATTTGGTTCACGATTCCATACTTAGATAAGATGGCTAACAGATTCAAGGATGTGGTTAAGAACCTTAATATGAGTCTTACATTTTTTAGCCTTAACAAACTTAGTTGTTTTATTCGAGCACAGAAGGATTGCCTGACCACTTTTCTTAAAAAGAATGTAACATATAAAATACAGTGCAGAGATTGCGACGCATCTTATGTTGGTCAAACGAAGCACACTTTGATGACAAGAATTAAAAAACATAAGAATGACATTCGGAAGTGCAGTGGCAATCTTTCTGTTGTCAATGAACACCGCTAGAGTTTGAAACATGAATTTGATTGGGAAGGTGTAGAGATGATGGATTCGGAGAGGTGGTTGTATAGACGACGTGTTTCCGAAATGCTTTACATTAAGTTACAAAAAAAAAAAAGAACAGTTTAAATCTTCAATCACACACGGAATTTCTGCATGACTCATACTTACCCATCCTTGAAAGCTTACAGTAATTTACTAAGTGAACTTTGCTTTTTTGTTTAATAAATAATTTGATTAATTAGTTGGCCACTGTGTTGTTTTCTGCCGTTAGATAATTTATTATTTTAAAATAGTATACGCAGACGTATTACGTATTGGCTTGTTGCTACACTGTACACATGTTTGACTTTGTATTCGTTATTCGACTACGGTCTGCTGACACGTATAGAGGTATAATACACAGACAAAATTGATACCTCGATGTAACGCGTGACATCGATTTAATTTAAGTTCTTCATGTTCGAACGGGTGAGTTTCTTGTTCATCTTTGAAATCATATAATTATCTATCTAATAATGGCAATGTTTAATCATTTAGAAATTCCTTCTATTCAATTGCCACAAGACCCGTTAATCTTGTAAACATAAGAACTGAATACAACGATGGATTTGCCACTCACTTGCTCGGATTAGAAGATTTCTCTATTATCTAATTTTGTTTCACTGAAGATGGCCCGAATGATGGCTGAAACGTATGAAGATTAATGTATAAGTATTATGTATTAAATAATTTATTGTATGATTCACCGCAAAATTGACTCTAATTAGCCTTTTTTATGTAATTTATTTGACAATCTTGAGAGTTATAAGTTAAGAATTTATTCACAAACATACATAAATTATATATGAAATATGTCCCTACATCTTTATACATCCTTTTTTCTGTTGTAAAATAACTTTTTAGTGTAATAGAAATAATAATAACGTGAGAACATTAAAAATAATTAAAAGAATACTTTTCGCACCATTTGTTTTTGAAAAAAATCAAGTTTAGAGAAATGTAAAAAGATTGCTCATATATCAGTAAAAAATAAAAAAGCCCATCAGAGCCATACATCAGTTGTTCGGATGCACAGAAAACGCATTATTTTCGTGTAAATGTAACAAAACGAATCAAATATAAACATTTCAACCCTTCAATTTGGATCCTTATCTCAATATAAAATACAAAAATTACATAAGTAACGCAAATTCCAAAAAAGTTGATTCCCGAGAATTTAGCTCGTTCTTCTTTATCCAAATGTCAAATTAGCTATGTAAAGAATAACCAAATGATTATCAAAAATATTAACTTATATAATAATAATTCGGCATTTGGATAAAGAATCCGATAAAAAATTTTTCATGCATGAATATATATAAATATGTATAAACATACATAAACACGCATAAATATTCATAAACATGTATAATTATATATGAGGGTCGTCTGAAAAGTTTTGAGCCTAACATAGAAACAAGTAATTTTTCGGTCAAATTCAATTTTATTTTTCCACATAGTCTCCTTTTAAGTCCATACATTTTTTCCAGCGATGCTCCCACTCCTTTAATCCATTCAAATAATACGCGTCTCGCTTTGCAAAATAGACGTCTACGGATGCGATGACCTCCTCGTTCGATGAAAATTTCTGTCCTCCGAGCCAAACTTTGAGCCTAGGAAACAGAAAAATGTCGCTGAGGGCCAGATCTGGTGAATACAGTGGATGGTCAATTAATTCGAACCGCAATTCGTGAATTTTTGCCATAGCGACCGCCGAAGTGTGAGACGGTGCGTTATCTTGATGAAACAGCACTTTCTTCTTTTTCAAATGCGGTCGTTTTTTCTCAATTTCTGCCTTCAACTTGTCAAGCAATGATGCGTAGTACGTCCCTGTTATTGTTTTACCTTTTTCAAGATAGTCGATCAACACAATTCCATGATTGTCCCAAAAAACAGTCGCCATCACCTTTCCCGCCGATAAAACCGTCTTCGCTTTCTTCGGAGCAGGTTCACTCTTCGCAATCCACTGTTTTGATTGTTTTTTCGTTTCAGGAGTGAAGTGGTGGACCCAAGTTTCATCAACCGTTATTAATCGAAACGCAAAAAATCTGACTCGTTTCGCTTAAACCGCTCCAACAGGGCCTTAGAAATGTTCATTCAATGCGTTTTTGATCCAGAGTGAGCAAGCGCGGCACCCAACGCGCGGTTAACTTACGCATGCCTAATTCTCCAGTCGATATATGACAAACACGTTCTTTTGATATGCCAACAGCCTCTGCTATCTCCCTAATCTTAATTCGACGGTTGTCCATTATCATTTGATGAATTTCTTCGAATGTTATCGGTGGTGGTCGCAGTTGTTGGCCGTCCCGGACGCTCATCATCAGCTAATAAGCTGGTACGACCAAGTTTAAATTCAGCTACCCCTCTTTTCACGGTGACAAATGATGGGGCAGAGTCCCCGTAAACAGCGTTCAACTCAGCTTTAATTTGCGTAGACGTATTGCCTTTCAAATGTAAGAATTTAATTATAGCACAATATTCAATTTTTTCCATTTTTACAAAATGACGACACAAATGATTGTCAAACAAGAACTGAACGTCCAAAGTGGCCACAATTGTCACAGATATCTTTCGTAAGTATCATGATTATAATACCAGAATGGCTTTGACGAGTAACGCCATCTTCATGATGAGGCTCAAAACTTTTTAGACGACCCTCGTAATTCGTATGTCCATATACATATATGTTCATACATCCTTTTTTCTTTTATAAAATTACTTTTTGGTGTAATAGAAATAATAGTAATGTTGTGAGAAGCAAGAATTTTCAATTTAAAAGGCTCTCATTAAGACGAATAGAATCAAAGATTTTTCGACAACATATACATAAGCGTAGATTGTAATCCAAACAAAAATTTATTGTTAATTTATTCTTTTAATCTTATGACTAAAAAAGAATCATTGATCGTTTATTTATTTCAATTCTTTTAATCTTATGACTGCGAACTAATTTTATATTATAAAGTAATTATAAGGCTCAATATGTATAAAATAATATAAATATTAACAGAGCATAGAACCAATATTACAACGAACAACTTTAATTAAAATAATAACATTACAAACGTTTCGACTCCGATCAGGTCATTTTCAATGCACAACAACTTTATCTTAGAATTCCGGTCACATTAGTAAAATCTTACAAAATATATAATAAAATAAATATAACTTATCCTA